GATTCCTTTCCTCTTTGGGGCGTGTGCAGGGGGTAGGTTAATCCTTCTAGTATCTGCGACGCTTGTTAGGGCCAAAATCACCCCCTGGATTTCCTCTGTTGAAGGCAGGTGGGTTCCCTCCCATCGCTCCGAGGCCTTCCATTGCACCGCCCTGGCCAAAGCGATCTGCAGGTGGTGGTGGAGTCTTGTGATGAGGACAAATGAAGAAGAGGCAGGAAGAAGAACAAGGAACAACAAAGGGCAGTTAAAAGCCATTTGAGTTGATTCAAATTCTACCAGGATTCCACAATTCCAGCTGACCTTGCTACAAACCTTCACCCCACCAAAAACATCCCCAAAACTGCACTGACAGGACCACTGCAGGACCAAGTCTCTTTCTCCACATAACTTGTGGTCAAGCATACTGGAATACAGTTTGCACCATCTCACAGACTAGTGCCCTGCTGTGGAGCATGTGAGTAATGCAGTCTGGGAAAGGAGAACTTCACATTTCCATCATATTCCTTCACTCAAACTGAATACAAATGAGGATCAGCATACTGATACTACAACACTATCACAATCCAGGTGTACGCAACACTCCAATTCCAAAATAAGTCTGCAAAACTAGTCTTGTGCCCTGATCATATCCTGTTATTTCCATTCCTTTGGCTCTCCCCTCTCCCAGCTGGGTTAGCGCTATTGCACAGCCTCTTCCTTCCAGCAGGGAGAAGATGATCAAATGATAATTCAGGTTGGAAGGTACCTCAGGAGGTCTCTAGTCCAACCTCCTGCTCAAAGCGGAGTTGGCTATGAGGTCAGACTAGGTTAGTCACGGCTTTATCCAGTCGGGTCTTGAAAACATCCAAGGATGAAGACTGCACAACCTCTCTGGGCAACCTGCTCCACTGCTTGAATGTCCTGATGGTGGACATGGTACTTCCTTTGGGGAAGGTACTGGAGACAACCACTGCCTCTTCCTTCCCCTTGGACTGGGGCTAAGTGACTACATAGAGCAGAGCTGCTTTACATGAGGCTCCTGCGTTCCATTTATTCTTTGTCCACAGGTTTACAGCAGTGATACATATATGCACATCATAATTGGTATTAGTACTGTAAATGACTCCATGGTATTGCCTGGTTCTACAGAACACAGACCCAAACTTCAGTAAAATTGTCGATGGGGAGGTCCCAGGGACTTTGAATGCTCACTTCGCTGTCAGTGCAGGGGAGGCACTAGCAGTAACACAGCACTCCTACCTTTTTCCCTTCCCTACAGATGAAAAATTCTGAGTAATCATGAACTTATCCTGTAGGACACATCACAGGGAAGAACGCTGCAATCACTCCAAGCAGCTGGAGCAAACATGCAAAGTAACTGCTCCCTACATGAATAAAAAGCTGGAATACGTGGGCCCAGTAACTCCTAAAACCAAGCACATGGCCAGGATAAATAGTTTCCAAAAAGACTATACATATTTCTGGCCGTTAGGGAAACAGCTTATTGCTTTTTGGTCTAAATTGTATTATTTCATCATATTGATCTGAACTCACCTCCCTTTTCCATTCCTCTCTTCATCTTCCCCCTTAATTTCCTTGTGTAGTACACATTCCCTTAACCTCAGCCACTCCACTGTCCCTACCACTTAGGTACAAAATCTTATAGCCAAATAAAACTGTTCTTTATGACAAAAAAAATTTCCGTGATGTAGCAGTCATGATAGATCAAGAAGTCTAAGTAGGAAGGTTTGCAGGAAAATTGTTTATTAGACCAATTGATATAAACTGCTAAAGGAAGATGAACTTTCAGGACAAACTTGACTATGACTGCTGCTGTTTCTGCTGCTGACCGGAAGTGCTGACACTGTGAGAGGATCGATCGTCTGTATGACAGAGAGGAATGACAGATGCCACAGAAGCCATGGTCTATTGTAAAGCTCTGCAGTAAAGTTTAAAACTAAATTAAATATAAGAATTAAAAAAGGCAAATAAATAAGCATAACCCCCACTGATTCTTTGCTCTTTACCTCCTAAACAAATTAGCTGAACTCATTTTAGCATAGTCATTTTAACCTATTAGCATAGGAGATAACTGTTTTTAAAACTGGTGATGGACAGAACATTCCTGAAAGCTTGGCTTTATGCCTGCAAGAATCTACTCTCAAAACACTCTCATTCAACAAAGTGCTTCCCATTATGCCATTTAAAAAATAACCATATATTATTGCTAAGATCTTTCTAACAAACATTTTAGCACTAGCTATCTTGGAAGTAAAGTAAGTAGTTATAGACTTGGCTAAATCTCCTGAAAATTACCAACTAGTATCAAGGCAAGAATAACTTCTAAAGATTTCAGCAGGGGTTAAGCAACAGGTCTAGGTAGACAAACAAGCTTCAACTTTAGCAGCATACTGCTTAACAATGGAAACAACATAATCTGCATTTAAAAGGTGTGGACAAAAAGCGGATGGAGATACATTACCATTCCCATGGCTCCATCAGGTATCATAGCTCCAGGACCACTCGCAGGAGGTGCAGCAGCTGGGACATTGGTACCACCCATAGCTCCTCTATTGTTCATGCCAATGGTACCTGGAAGAGAAAACTGAAGAATAGTCCTGGCAGACACAGTGACTGAGGTCTTACTCATCACTCCAGAGCCACAAAACACCGTGTAAGCTCCCTGCAGTGTTATATTCAGGGACAGAGTCCTAGTCTATTAACTAGCTTTGCACTATCAGGTCAAGACAAACTGATCTTGCATTCCGGTATTATATGAAACTACAGCAGGCTCCAACACTCACCACCTTCATTAACCACTAAGCCTCCATCGCCTTTTCACTTGCTCTTGTACATGTGGCCTGAAACTCTAAATCATGTAGTCAAAATATTGAAATACAGTAATCAAGATTATTTCCTGGGCTCAAGGTCTAGCACTACATGTCGTACCAGTTTCTGTATCAGTACAAACTTTGGAAGCACACTATGGGTCTGATAGTTCAGTAAGCAAAAGACTTGAAGTTGCTAAGTCTTTCACAAAGGCACAGTACTGCCTCATACCCAAATTTTGTTATGTTTCCTGTCACATGAACACTTCCTGTCACTGAACTGGGAGAATACGACTATGACTGAGTTTCTAAGGAAGAAGCCAATAAAATAAGGCTACTGAAAAAATGTACAGATTTTGTAAAGGAGAAAAGGAACATGCATAGGAACAAAGATGGCCACAGAATACTCTTACCTCCCATACCCATCTGTCCCATTCGCATGTCTGGTGGCTCCCTCTGGAAAACAGACACTCTTTTCAAATGACAAAAATTCAGGCTTTTAAAAAACATAATTATACAAATTCAATGAGTTCTGGGTTTTACTATTGAAAATTGTGTAGAAAAGTCATGCCCAGTGTAAATTTCAACAGAAGATCTGAGCTACCTTCACACGATTAACTGCTGAACAAACAGGTCTTATTTAAAATACCTCATTCTGAAAGACTGTTTTTCACAATCATGGTAAAACATCCAGCAGCAAAGCTGCGTGTGCAGATTTTATGAAACAGCAGCATAAAGAGATACCTGATATCTGGATGCAAAGATCTGCTGAGCAGCAGTAACACATTAGATAGAATTAGTTTTGCTACTTCCTCAGCATAGCTAAGAAGCTTTTTCTGTTGAAAGGAATGCAAGCTTACATAAAGACGCAGCACTGGGTCACTTGCATGAAAATACCAGTTAGCGAGTTCAATTTCTTTTATTAACTGAGCTTAGTGGACATGCCACAGATCTCCCTCACTGCAAAGCTAGGAGCACCTCCTCACTTCAGCGAGGGTACTAGTTTTTCCACAGTGGGAACTGAAGAACAGATTTCACTTCATCTGTAGTCTCAGTACCACTATTTATCATATGAAGGCACTGTAATTTAGAGAAATCAGGAGTTCTGCTACGCAGGGTAATATTCACACATTTAGGTCAGTCACATGCTTTTGGCCCTTTTGGTTTGACATATATTTAGCTATTTTGCTTAGAGGCCAATTTTTCACTAGGATATATAAAGACTTGCCACCCAGTTGCATCGATGCCATTATACCACTTCAATAGCACTACAGCTGCCTCCACAATAGAAAGTTGCTGGGACTGGAAATGAATTGTAAGACAGTTCTTTATAGAACTAGAGATACTGCTATTAAATGGCAGGTTACCACACATTTCACATTATAAGAAAATACTTGACCAACTGACTTTTAAGTACAAGCAGTTATCATGCCTGCAGCAGTGCCTCAAGTTGGGATCATTTAATCTAAGCATAACTAAGACAGACTGCAGGCTAGGGATATAGCCAAGCATATGACCATAAAAGGGTTTTGCAGCAATAATTCAGGACACTACATCTTTGTTACTGTTAGAATAAAATTAGTTAGCATATATTCTTCTGAACAGCAAGACAGCCAGTGAGGGTCCTACATGAACGGCAGAGGGACGGTGACTGTGGTATTTATATTTTCCAGACTAAACTGTATTAAGATTGCAGGGAGTTAATTTAGGGCAGAATGCACTAAACATGTAGAGTCCCTCAACCAACAAGTTAAGCATTCACAGAAAGCCTCATGCTGTGGAAGGGCAAAAATCTAACATCAGTGTCCAGATGTGATGGGAAAGTAGAAGCACTCATACCGCATCAGCAAAATTCCCTTTAAAGCCTTCCTGCTGGCGTCTCATCATCTCTTCTTGCTGCCTTCTCATTTCCTCCTCACGGCGCCTGCGTTCTTCCTCTTGCCTGCAAAAAAGGTCCAAGGATGCTCAGCACAACATACACCAACCATCTGCATCACAGTGTTGCAGTGCTGCCTAAGGCATCTTGTTTGGAAACCTACAACTTTAAGAACATTATTTTGCTGAGGCTGTAAAATATTAGGTACCTTGTGATGAAAACAGAAACACGTATGCACACCAAGACATTTCCACACTTTCAATTTTAAGGAGTTCGTTATAAAATCCAACATGAGCACACCCATGTGTGTGTCTCATGAGGAGCGGCTGAGGGAACTGGGGTTGTTTAGTCCGGAGAAAAGGAGGTTGAGGGGAGACCTCATCGCTCTCTACAACTACCTGAAAGGAGGTTGTAGTAAGGTGGGTGTTGGTCCCTTTTCCCAAGTAGCAAGTGATAGGACGAGAGGAAATGGCCTCAGGTTGTGCCAGGGGAGGTTTAGAGTGGATATTACAAAATATTTACTCACTGAAAGGGTTGTCAAGCATTGGAACAGGCTGCCCAGGGAAGTGGTTGAGTCACCATCCCTGGAGGTATTTAGAAGACGTGTACATGTGGCACTTAGGGACATGGTTTAGTGGTAGACTTGGCAGTGTTAGGTTTACGGTTGGACTCGATGATCTTAAAGGTCTTCTCCAACCTAAATGATTCTATGATTCTATGTACACAGCAGCTCCCAAATATGTGCTGACTACATGCAATATAATGCATACAAGCCAGACAGTTCTCAAGCCCCTTCTATTACAGAAGTAGTCTGGAGATCTTCCCGGAGCTTCTCAAAATGACCCCGAGACAAGGAAGAGCTGGAATGGAGAGAGAAATCTCTGAGACTAAGTTACCCCTCAAACAAAAAGATAGATGCTAGAATGGGGTTTCCCAACCTGCAGCACTGAAGCCAACGAATCACTGCACAAATTCTGATTTTTCTATCTGCCTCTGTCAAGGAGCTAAACTGAGACACAGAACTGTAAAAAACCAAGTAGTTATCAGTGGAAGAAACTCCTAACTCTTCCATCTTAAGCCAACTGTAGACTCTCCCTATGAACAAAAAGGCCCAAAATAACAGCCACGCTTTAGGTAGTAATTAAATTGTCACACTGAACAATTAGGTGCACCGAAGAAGTGTTTCATTCCATAATATTATGGATTCACAGCATTTCATCACCTGCCCCCTTACCTGAGTTCCAACTGTTTACGTTTTTGTACTTCTTGGTTATGCAATTCTTCCATTCTCCTCAGCTCTTCCTGGCGTCTCATTAAATCTGTAAAAGACGACAGTAAAAAACCCAATCAAACTCATCTCCCATGCCACCTCTTATCAATTCTTGAACTAGAACCTTAACACTCAAGAGAATAAGGTAACAGAACCTCCAGCAATACAGTAACGTCTCTCCATTCATTTGGTGCTACCATGCTTGGTTACAAGTCAAGCAGCTACACTCACCTTCAGTGGGCTCTAGCCAGCCTACTGAGCTACCCACCCCTGGATGTTGCAGGGCCATGTTCTGATACTGTATTTATCTTTGATTGGTTACCTTGCCGCATGAGCATAACTTGGTGCTCATGGCGAGCTGCTTCCATTTCCATTTCCAGCTTCTCTCGAGCTTCCTTGATGTTGCGGTCTACTTGTTCTTGCTGCTGCTTCTCCATTTCTATTAGAGCCTTCCAACGCATGGCATATTCATACTCAAAGCTGCCAGGCTGTGCAAATCGAGGAGGCTGCTCACGCTCCCTGTCAAACAAGGAATAGCTAGTGAATGCTTCAATAGAGTAAGGAGGAACCAAGAAAAATACATTTGTGTGTTAATTGCAATGGCAGATCCTTTTAACAGTTAGAAATGCATCTCTTAGTGCAACAAATAAGGAACTACTTTGTCTTCTACTTTCTCACAAATAGCTATGCCTGAGATACCAGTTTGTCTGCTCCTCAGGAAAAATCTTATTGAAAGCAGAAACTTAGGCAGAATCCTGCTGCAGGATTAGTTCTGCATGGAAGCTGTGTCCTGTCGTCCTCCATAACAATGGCACTGCTTTCATAAGACGCCAAAAGATTCTGGGTAAAGACATTTAGAAATACTCTTGAAAGAAACAGCCTTTGCTCCTGCTGCACGTCTTATAGACAGATCCATTCCAGAAACAAACACTGCCCAAATGTGTGTGTTTATTTCACTATCTCTGCAACCCCTGCACCTGGAGTATATGACTATTCCTAATGCAGCCTCCCATCTCCCGAAGCTCTCATCTTCCTTACTTGAAAAAATTCATGAGCTCACATGGTTTACTAATTCCCACTGCTCAGATCACATGATACCTACTTACACTGGGAAGCCTTCAAAGATCATGGCCTTATACCTGGATAGCTCTACAATCTCCTAATGCTATTCACATGATTCCTTAAATTTTCACTGTGGGTTCAAATCTGTTCCTCTACAGACTTTCCATAATACTCAGAGCAAGTAACCTATGTCTTTCCTTCAGCTTCTCATCTGAGCCAGGGGATCTCATGTTATCTCAAATAGACACAATTTTTTATTCCAACAACTGAAACGGACTTAGGAAAAATATGTGGAGGCTGCCAGTCTTATCCAGCAGTGTGGATCCAAAACCACTGTTTTCTTTCAGCTAACCATGGCAAGAGAACAGTGTATGCAATTCTCTTTCCAAAGTCAGGTCACATTTACAGAAAAAAGGAGGACCTTTAGTAGCACTGATGAGCCACCCTCCTAAGACTGAGGCACTAGTCAATGTCCTAGTCCGCAGGTAGTCTCATCTCCTGTCGCATGGCAGGCACGTACTTGTGATATTGCTGGTTTTTGATGACTAGTTTCTCTGGTAGTCCCTCTTCATCATCATACTGATCCATGGGCTCCACAGTGACAGGCCGAGGGAATCTGTAAAGAAAAGATGAGGTGCTTTCAAGAAAATTCAAGAATGAGCTTGCAGTGTAGGAAAGCATGTGTACTGTGTCTGAACTTATAAAATAATGCTTTTAGCACTGCTCAAAGAAATTCAGAGCAGTTGGGGATCTCAACCAAAGTAAAACCAGGAATCACTTTGAACACTTTCTTTCTTTCTAGAATAGAAGCTGAAGTGTTAATCAGAATCCTTGTTGAATCCAAATAAAAATTGTACGAAATTCTTGCAGTTAATGGTTCAAATTAACAGCTTAACTGGAACCTGACATCCTCCAGTAGGATCTACTCAGCATGAAGTCTTGTAGTCCCTAGAGTCTGGTTTTTCTCCCTTTCCTCCCTTGCTACATGGCCAACCATGGGCTGCACAAGTCCTTGTGTACCTTTTTATAGCTGCCTAAAGCAAAGAGTAACTACACTGATCCTCACTGGAGGTTGCTGGCTGTACCATTCAGTCATACCCTCCTGGTGAGACCATCACGTGCCATTATTGCCAAACAGCAGTGCTCTGTAAGTGCCTGTTGGGCCCTGTCTGAATTTCCCCCCAAGAAATCCACTGGTGCACTTCACAATATAGACACTGCACATGTGTGCTTCTGTCCTCCTGGTTTCTGTGTCCAGAAGAAAGTATTTAACAGAAGTGTTCCCAGTCTCTGAATTAGCTCTGACACTGCTCATCCTCAACACAAAGCAGCACCACAGCTTCTCGTTAGCTCCTCAACCCCATTTGCCAGAGCTGGGGAAATGGAAAAGATCATGCTATGCCAAGTGGCAAGCAGTGCCCAGACTCCAGCAGGAAGGCAGGATATAAGAGGCTAAAATCTCTCTCCTCAGCTGAAGATCCACAATGTAGCTTTTCACTTCAATGTTACATATTCCATTATTAATAGTCTTATTTTCCAATGTGAACCAATTCCAACCAGTTTAGCTAGCTGTTACTGTCGTGAACTAGGACAAACCAGAACAAATTTAATCAAAACCAAACCATAACTAGAAATAAGCAACATATTGGTTTGCTGTCCTAGATATCAGAATCTAATACACTGATAGCTACAAAAAGATTGAATGTTACCCTCAGGTGCTCTCAGTTATACACTGGTAGTGATTAGTTTTGCATGATCACTTTTAAATTTTTTTTTCATGGCTCTTTCAGGACATAGACTTCTGAATCAGCAAAAGCTCCCTAACAGCAATCCTCCTGCAGAGCATTACACACTATGCTGGTTATCCCCAAAGAGTCTCAGGGAGAAACACAGATCCTAAAAAAAACCCAACAAAACACCTGCTTTTTGAAACTGAACGTGCTTGTGTACAGCTGTGCCATATGTAGGCCTCCAAGAAAAAGAAGAGAAGTGAGAAGCACAAAGCTTATAAAATTACTTTAGAAATTAGCAATATAGCCCCAATTTCAGGAAGTATTCTATTCACAAATTCTAGGTGCGTACACGCAAAATATACAGTAATTTTTATTTCCAAGAGATAAAAAATGGCTCCCTCTTAATAGATAGAGCAACAAGCCATGCTCTGTGGAATGCATTTAGAATTAGTCACTTACTTGAGCAAGTTCACATAATTATGCAAGAACATGCTTTACTGCCTTATGATATTCAAGCACAAGGAGAACAGTTTGTTATGGTGAAAACTCCAAACAATCCAATCTATATGACCAGCTTCTCCGACAGATCCCATGCCCACAGTGGTGGATCAGCATTCCACCCCAGCAGTGCATGCCGGCTGAGTGGAGTCCCATCCCAAGACTTGCCTCTGAAGCGACCCAGAGTACACAATTAACACACTTGAGCTTCATTTCCAACAAATGACATGGATGGTCTCTAAAATAGCTCCTGCTTCTTAAAGGCTGCTTTAATTGCCCTAAGAAGGCTTTATCGAGAAAGAGCTTATCGGGAAGCTTTATGCACTTACTCCACTAGCAGCTTCCCAGAAGAAAGTTTTCAGGCCTGAGTTTCAGCACAGACTCACTCTTGTTGGAACAAAGCTAAGTAAAGTTCTCCCTGGGCAAATCACCTACCACCTCCTGCCCCATATCTCATCTGTCCCGCTCTGGTGTTAAGAAACATTACTCACAAGCCAATGCCACCCATCAACCTGCACACAAGCCAGTATAGCACTTCTCACCCTCCACACTTACGTAGTTAGCAGGAAAGACCCATCACTACATCTATCCAGGGCTTTCCTAGCAGCAGGCTTCCCTGAGAACTCCACAATGCCTTTCCCAGAGGATCGTCCTCTGTCATCCACAATAACCACAGCCCTTTCCACCTGGCCAAACACTGAGAAGGCTTCCTCCAGGAGCTCATTGGACACAAACTGAGGCAGGTTCCTGACTGTCAGCGATGCGCTGTGGCATGCAAAACGCACTCTTAGCTGCTTCCCACGTAGAGGCATGTTGTCTAGTTCCACCTTTGCAATCTCTGCCAGAGTGCGAGTTTCCTGAAGATAAAAAAAGTTATCATTAAAACTCTCAATGCAATACAGAATCAGCCAGTCACAGTCACAACAGAATCAGCCAGTCACAGTCACGAGCCTATTTCCCTTAAACAAGTACTTCTCAGAGAGGAACAAATAATCCTCCCATAGCATGGTAAAAAGTGTCCTAACAAACCATAGCTATTCTCTATTATCAGTGACTCTACCTGAATAGGCATGTACAGAGTTTGAGGGGTGGGGGAATGTATCAGACATAAGCTTAATCCAACAGCCAGTACAAACTAAGCAAACAATTAAATGATCATTATCTATCAGACTTAATTATATTAAGGCTACAAAGCATGCCTTTTTAAAAAAATAAATACATTTAAAAAAGATTCATAATTCAACTATTAGCCAAGTCTGATAACTGTAAAAGGAAATGCTGATTGTATGACAATCCATGAAAGACATCCTATGCCAGTTTCACACCTTTCCACTCATTTAAGTCACAACCATGCAGCTACACTACAGCAAAGTGCCCCAGACTTTGGTGTGGGAACCTCATGCTCCACCCACTCACCTTGGGGCTTTCAGAAAGGTAGTATGTGAGCCAATAAAGTCTGAGAACCATTACTCTACCTTGGTAGCTACCTCCCTCCTAGCCATGCTTCAACGTGATCATCCAGAGATCCCCTACCTCAAGAGTATTCATCACTCCAGTAATACTGCATAACAACCTATGTTCATAGAAATTCCGTGTTCACACCCTTCCAGAAAATGAAGTCCACCTTGTCTATAATAGCATCATAGTTTTCCTTCTGTTTTCTACCAGCTGACTTCAGAGTAACTTTATCAGATATCTCATAAATCCTGCCACAAGCTGCCTGAATTCACATTCCTTCTCATAACAAGCTCTAGACAAACCACTTGTAGAAGCTGATCCCATATTCCAGGTTACTAAAATCAACAGCAGGCTTAATTAGCAAGATATCTGAACATCTACTACTTCCAATTAGCAATACTCCTCCAGTGTGAGTCATTGCCACAAAACCACCCCAAAGGTAGAAAGTCACTCACCAGCCTGATAAAGCCAAAGCCTTTGTCCTTGTGTATGAAGACTTCACCTGCTTTGCCATACTTCTCAAATAACTTTCTCATCTCTTCCTCTGTAATATCTGGGGGCAGATTCCCCACAAACAGGCGGCTTCTTTGGGTGAAGGTCTTTTCACCAGGTTTCCGGAAATTCTTCAGGTCAATAGTCAGGCCTTCATCTGAGGGGAATAAGGTACACAGCTGCTCTACAGTTGGGGGGATAAATTCTATTAGGTTTCATCACAGTGAACACAGAGACATAGGACAATATAGGTAACACCACCCAATCACTTCGGTCTCAAACCTCTCCAGCCATCTCTACAGCAACAAGGGGATTTTATTTCAGAATAGGCCCACATTCTTTTTAAAGAAAACACATGCTTGGACCTCAGTGCTCAGTAACACCAATGAAAGACAGTCTAGAACTGGATAAAAGAACAACACTGCAGGTTGAAATAACGTGAGAGATTTCACTCAGCTTTTGGAGATCTGGTCAAGATGGCTGGCCCACAAGAAAATCAACTGTAGTCACAATACAGGATTTTGCTGTAACAACCTGAATAATTATAGAAAAGTCACAGTTTGGCCAGCAACCAGATTTTTACTCCAAAAAAACAACCCCAGATGTCTAGGAAAATATGGAAATGAGAGGAAATTTTGCCCAGACAGATAACATTTGAGATAGCTGTCATTCTACGAGATGGGATTTGGGTTCTAGAGTCTGGGGTTCCAAGCTGAAGAGAAGGCTGGAATGGTGAAAATAGTGAAAAAAAAAAAAACAACACCCCCAAAAAACAGCCATATAGGTGAGACCTCAGAAAAATTACGAAGTTCCTTACAAAAAATCTATATTCAGTAAGTAATGCTATATCTAATACTAATAAATAGAACAGATTGTAGGAACATTCTCAAATCCCCACATGCATATACAATCTTGCAGGAGGCCAGCATGATCCTGGAAGCTCTGCTATACGCCAGGCACAGGGGTGGCTTATCATCACTTCACCTTCCTGTATTCCATTTTCTTAAACGTATATGGAACTTCGCCACACAGGACAGCAAGCCATAGAAAGTAATCCCTTGGCTTTGCAGAGGACACACCTCATGGCCACACATATGAAATAAACTACAAACATGAGTGGCTTGATTCAGGCTACAAAGCATGGCACTAACCAGGAAAGGCTATTCATGCAAAGACAATGCATGCAAGACATGCAAGGACAACTCTTTTATAAGAATAAGCACACCTCCATGGCTAACGCTAAAAAAAAAAAAAAAAAAAAAAAGACTGATGGTATATCTATAGAAGAGTAGTGAGAGTAAGTTATCTACTTCACACAGGAAGGGTGCATAAGTGAAGTGTTTTGTCTTCTGAATTTCTTCACACCATTATCAGAAGTATTTGGGGATCAATTGCAAGGCCTGTGAATACACTAGGAGGGACTTACGGCAAAGTTATACCACTATTACTGTTCTGCCTTAAGTAGATCCACTCAAAGGAATCTGAGATACAGTCACTCACTATAAGCCTATCCCTATGAGAATACCACAATACAGTTGGGTTGCATCGTTTCCAACCTGACTGGAAACAGACTGGTCTGCCACCCTTGTCTATTATCTTCTATGAACTGATAAGGAGCCTGTTTAACAGGGCCACCTAATAAAAATATACAGGATTTTTTTTATTAGCCCAGTCCCTCTGCATGTGTGTGTATGCAGTTAAACCTGCAATTCTGACAGAAAAAAACCACACAGAGGAATCATGCGAAGTGCACGTGACTTCTACACACTTTTGTTTTGAACAGCCAAAGTGTCCAAACTTAAAAAAAAAAAAAATCTAATGTAACTATAGCATTTCCTCCCCCAAAAATGCTACTGGCAATGCCTTGCTGCTGTAATTCTAAACTATCAAGTTAGATCAGTTAAGGCCCCAGAAGCCATTGATGCATATCGTCTCAGCTCACAAGCACCCCCTCTGTATCCCAAATAACAGAGCTACAGTCCACACTAAGAACCAACCCGGAAACACACTAGATTAGACTAAAAGCCATCATCAATATCAGCTGGTACTCGAATTCTGACATATTACTAAGTAAAGCTGGGTATCTCCTCATCCCTCCCACGTAAAAATTTAGTCTTAACGGGTGACTGCAAATTAGCGTAACAACATTATTACTACAACTGTATCTTTACAGATAGCAAATTTATTTCACTAGTACTTAAGGAAACCTGTGTTGAGAAGCCATTTATGATGGTCGGGAAGAAAAGGAAACAGAGCCAACAGAAAACAGGCCATCTCGTATTTGCAAGGTTTACAGAAACACTGTTAAAGATTCAGAGACGTCCCAACTCTTTAAGTGAGCTTTTCTTGAGAATTTGGGACAAAGAAGGAACCTCTCCATCACTGCCCGGTTTTGGGAACACAAGAAACTTACAAACAAATCCCAGTCAAACCTACGGGAGCCACATGCATCTTTGAGCAGACTGAGCAAAAAAACCCCAAACCCAACCCAGCTGCAGTTCAAACCACCGTCTCCAACAATGGAAAAACCCGACTACTGCAGGCAACCAGCGAGTGCAAGTCGCGGTTCGCCAAGGACCTAACTTTTTATTGTTTCAGATAGAAAGATGGGGTCCTGTTTGTTTCCGCCAAGACCTGTTGCACCCGTACGGGCCGACAGCTAACCAGGAGCCGAAGTTACTCTCTACAGCGAGGGCGATCGCTCAGCGCCTACCCAAAGCAGGGCCGGGTGGCCCCCCGCGGCGGGCCCGGGACTCACTCTGGCTGTTGGCCTGCTGCCCGTTGGCGGGGATGGACGGCGGCGGGTGCTGCTGGTGCTGGTGCTGCTTCCGCGGAGCGTGGTTCTGCTTCTCCATGTTGAAGCCCTTATTGCCCTGCATCTTTCCCACCTAGAGGCAGACACG